AAAAAAAAAAAAAAAAACTGCCGGAACGGAAGCTCGCCAAAGGTCCCGGCGGTTGGCTCCCATAGCTGCCGGAACTTTCGCTTTCCCCTGCTTGGGGCTTTGTTTAGGGCCTTTCGGACTTTTCCGGCATAAAAGTTTTCGGATTGGACGGCACAGGGTTTTAAGGCATAGGTTAGACGAGCTTAACACCTTAAAATTTGGGCCGTAGTGCGTGGGATGTAGGGTCTATCAAAACTCCGGCTCGCGGCAAACGCTGTGTGTTGTGCTTTGGTTGGTGTTTGAGAAATACTTCCGTAGTACCTGTTCCCAAACATATTCATTCGACAGCCGAAGGTTCGATTCCATGTGGATTACCGCAAGGTTCGGTGTTGAGGGTTGCAGGTTCAGGCTTGACTGGTTTCGGGTCACGTATAAGAACAGGGGTCACGGTTTAGGGGCTTCAGTTTATAGATTGTGTATGCGGCTTCAGGCTTCGGGTTTAGAGTCAGGTCATTCTCAAGGATGCCAAAACCCCATACCGTCAACGATCGCACGCTGTTTAATATGCACACCCCACCAAATAATTAATCTGATCTGTCATATACCCTAAACCATAAACACCTGCAATAAGGTCCTACGGAAGCAATCGTCCTCTACCCCCCCTCGCCCTTATCTCCGCCAGCCCCAAGGTACTACGGGTCCCTATGATATATGCTGAACCCTGATGAACACAACAAAAGGACCGATCAACCCTAAACCTAAATCCCGATCAACCCTGAAAAGCCCGAAGCCATAAAATCTGAGCCATATACCTGCACTCTAAGGCTACCTATATCCCTGGCACCCCGAAACCCCAACCTCAAGAAGCCCCGTACACTCTCACATGGAGGCCTCAATCCTTACCCATAAAGTTTCTTGGGGATCCGTCTTAATTACAACTGAAATTATCTGTGTTGTCCTTTCGGGCTGTTGAAAATTATTTACCTAAACCGTGGATTTCAAGGGCATCTAAGGGGCATCTAAGTTCACAGAACAATCACAAATGCAGAGAGCTGTTGCAAGCCTTGTGCACACTCTTTTTTCCTTTGCTTGTCCGATTTGACTCTGACCGCACTGCTGACTCTCACCCGGGCTGCTGCATCCATTGACGGCCTGGCACCATCAAGTGAACATTTCAACCAGTCACAATCGACCATGACACACCATTGCAGGAGTCTGACTCTGCCCAATTTTATCTCAGCACCCTGCGAGGCTTGTATGACACTGACTCTGGTGGCCCAGATTGCCCGGTCAAGGGAATCATGAACTTGCTATCAAATTTGCATGACTCAACAGACAGAAGAAATCACACCCACTACTACTACTACTACTACTACTACTTCTGCTACTACTACCGACTACTACTACTACTACTACTACTACTACTACGACTACTGTTAGTACTACTACTACTACTACTACTACTGCTGCTGCTGCTGCTGGTGCTACTACTACTACTACTACTACTACTACAACTACTACTACTGGTATGACATCACGACTACGACGACTTATTATTTGTTACGGAAGCAGAACCCCAACGGCCTCCCGTCCGTGGCAGTCACAACACCTGCAGATTCCCGCAGGGCCTTGAGCATCCCTTCCCCAGTGAGCACGTTAGCCCATTGCCTCACTGTCATGTGCCTGGCGCTGGCACGTTGGCCTCAAAGAAGTTCTGCTCAAGGACATGTGACCACCGCCCCACACCCGGCCAGCAGTGTGGGAGGAGCCATCTTAATGCGCCTGGCTCCCCCTCGGTAGGGCTGCCCACCATGCTCCAAAGGCACGGCCCACCACACCAGCCCACTTCACCCACAAAGACCCACAACAGCAACAAACAATAGGCCACTAGCAGCAGCAACAGCAACAGCAAGCCCACCAGGAAAAACAATGTCAAGAGCACAGGCTGGTGCCACGACGACGACGATGACTAGTACCCGGAGGCTACTACTGCTACTAACTATGGCACTATACTGCTAGATACGACGGCAACAACGACGAACACTACTACCGTGTGCTACTACACAAGAACTACTACTACTACTACTACTACTACTACTACGACTACTGTTAGTACTACTACTACTACTACTACTACTACTAGTACTACTACTAGTACTACTAGTACTACTAGTACTACGACTACGACTACGACTACGACGAGGACTACTTTGAATTTTACTACTTTTACTCCTACTACTACTACTACTACTACTGCTACTACTACTACTACTACTACTACTATTACTACTACTACTACTACTACTACGTAGTACTACTACAACTACAACTACAACTACAACTACAACTACAACTACAACTACAACTACAACTACAACAACAACTACTACTACTACTACTACCACCACTACTACTACTACTACTACTGCCGACTACTACTACTAGTACTACTGTAGTAACTACCACTACAACCACAACTACGACTTCTGCTACGACGACGACGACTAGGACTACGACTACGACTACGACTACGACTACGACTACGACTACGACTACGACTACGACTACGACTACGACTACGACTACTACTACTACTACTACTACTTTACGAGGACTAGCACTACTGCCCTTGACACTGGGCGAAAGGGCGTATATGATTGCAAAAACTCTGGCACGCTAGCACCATGGCCAACGAAACTTGCAGTCTGCTTCAAGTCACACCCATTGTGTTAGCTCAGAGTAGCTAACGTGCCAAACAGACTGACGCTGACAATGCAGGCTTCACTCAGGCTTCGGTCTCATCTGGCGTTGGGCCTTTTTCGTCGATCAAACCTTTCTTCTCGTCGGCAATCTCGCTCTCGAGCACTTGAATGTATCGACGCTTCCTGCGTGGACAGGCGGAAATGCACCGATCACATACATCTTGTCTCCTTGATTAACTTTCTAAGAAGTGTTTATAAATAATTATTATTAAACAATAATATATTATAGGGACTCAGAAAAGCCGGACACTGAACAGGAACATGTATGGCCTGGACTGCAGGGCCTCCGCACGAAGGTGACGCAGGTCTTGGAAGTCTGACTCTGCCACAACAGACAAGCTGCCTGTCATTCCAGTAAGCTGGGCCGTCTTCAAGATGTCATTGACACTGTGCGGTTCGCCGTGGAGGATGCTGTAGGGAATCATGGAACTGCTCGAAGGAACCACTGACACCGATGCAACGAGTGCATTGTCTTGCATATTGAACTTGAGATTCAACAAGTTGAAGATGGGCATGCATCCCTTCATGAACAAGTGTGCTGCTGATGCTGCATCCTCGGCGCTGTCAAACAATATGACACTGCAGCCACCTTGGAGTCTTTGTCGCACGTCCACTGTCTTGGTGTTCATCTTCAAGAAGTCGAACAAATCCAAGTAATGGTTTTCTTGCCCTGACCCTAGGGCTGACACTTTCATCTCGTCCATGGTTGTGACTCTGCCCACAGTAACCACAAAGTAGTTGAAGGCCACGTTGGGGAGGTTATCAGGAACTCTTGCGGCGACACCGGAGGCTGGTCCTGACCCTTCAGCACTAGACCCGATGGTCCACTCCTCTGTCTTCGAAAACTGAAGCTTCGCATTTTTCTTGACGCTGATTTCCGACCAGCTGCCTTGGCCAAGAGGAGAACTGTAGTACGTTGGCATACTGAGCTATTCAAGTGGACTTGAAGGCTCTGACTCTCACTGAAATTGAATGAATGCAACACTGACATATTTCACGACTTTGATTCAAGATGCTATCCGAGACCTGCAGGGCTCCATCGGTGAGGATGCCGTAGGGGCCGTCAGGAACGAGTTGACCCTTGCTGAACAGCCGCTGAGCTTGCTGTGACAGGGTGACCCTGACAACATCTTTAATGCCGCGGAGAGCTTCCATCCGTTTTGGAGTGACACTGTTCAGCACGGGTCTTGCCTCACCTTCCATTGAGAATGACATCCCAAGCTTCCGGGCAGCACCATGCGTTGATTCCTGAAGTAGCTGATGCTGCTGGGTTTCACCACTTTGTATTATCAGTTTGCTACCTCATCGAAGCCAGTCTTTACCAATATGCAATGTCCAAGAAGCTAGTATACTAAATATGATAAGGTTTCACTAAGTAAGACTAATTAAGACAAGAATACTAACCGTGGCAATGGACATTATAAATCTGGTGCGGCCTTGAGTCAAAAAAGGCGTCCAACTCGTTGTTGCGCAACTTGGTCCCGCCCTTGAAGCAGAACCTTTGTCCGTCGACTGACCCTGACCCTGTCGATGTTGCAGGATAGCAAACGTAGAAGGACATCTCGCCAAGATGATTTCTGACACTCGGACTGGGAATGCGAAGGCAAAGCCAAAATTGCTAGGGCAATCCACACACTGACACGGACATTGGAATCATGAAAGACTCTGCTTCTCTGACTGGTACTGCTGTCCAATCACCGAGACCCTTGCAGCAGGCATAATAAACCATGCAGGCTGGGACCTCTGACCCTCGTCATTGATTCTGATGTCATTCAGCAGCAGCTCAGGACCTGAGTCCAAGACTCTATGACCCACACTATCAACTGAATGGCTTGGGATCGAGTTCAAGTCGTGGGCAACTGTATCCAGCCAGCTTTTCCAGTAATCAGTAACGGCACAAATGTAAGGGACACAAAGCTCAGCGATGTTCCAGCCGGACCCAATCCGCACCCGTTTAGCTTGGCACCCAGCATGTCTCCGGCCCACTACCTATGACACTGCATGATGTCCCGTACAAATAGCGAAGCAAATCCGCACCCAAATTGCACCCGGCATTTCTGTGGTGTACAAAAGTTGACAAGCAGCACTGCAAGTAATTTCAACGTTGCACCCGATCCTGGTCCTATTTAGTTTCCGCAGATCTGACACTGTGCAAGAATGTGTGCAAGACAATAAATAATAATAACCAACCCGCACCCCATTCGCATCCAGCCTCTTTGGCCCAACAAAGACAAGTGACACTGTTTGAATTGCAGGCAATGCCACTTCGCACCCAATTCGCACCCAGCATTTCTGTCACCCTTGTGGTTTGATTCTTAATACTGGGCAGAACCAGGTCGCACCCAGCAGAAAGATTGACACTGCAACAATACTAAGAATGTGTGGAACATGTCAATATAGGACAGGCCAATTCGCACCCAATTCGCACCTATCATTCTGTGGGCTCAGAAACAAACACTTCTCACGCTAGTCTAACTAACTCCCATCATTCTGTCATGTTTTGTGTGCCAGAGGTGTACATAATTGTAGCCAAGGCCAAATCGCACCCAATTCGCACCCAACAGGGTGCGACTTGGGTGCGAATTGGCTTGGACTAGTCAATGGACACTTTCCACACACACCCACACAGACACACGCACAAAGTGTGGTCCTGCCAGGCAAGGCTGGGTGCGAACTGGGTGCAACATGGCTATTGCTCAAGAGACTTATTATGCAGTGTCACGTGCCTTGAGGGGAAAACTGGTAAATCGTATGAATTGGCTGCAGCGTGCAGCATTCAACCTGTTCTCTTGTTCGTTTCGAGACCACACAGAAAAGCTGGGTGCGAATTGGCTGCGAATTGGCCCTGGCTACGAGTACGGGAGATCCTGTAGTGTCTCATGTCATGTGCTGTTTCGGACATAGAAATGATGCTATGTGGCCCATTCTCCGCACATGTGGGACTACTTTTTCTGTCGATCTAATGTAGCCGGGACCAATTTGCTGCCGCCTATCACCCAGCATCTGTCAGTGACCCGAAAACCAAATAAACTAAAAAGCACGTGTGGCATAATATGTGGTAGCCAGGGCCCATAGGCAGCCAATTCAGACTCAGCATTTCTTCGCCAAAAATATTGACAAACTTATCGTGTGAAATTAGGCACACGCTTCATAACCCAGCAGTCGAAGAGGACTGCATACACATGTGTGCAATGTCTAGCACAGGCCAAGTCACACCCAATTCGCACCTATCATTCTGTGGGCTAGAAAAAAGCACGAAAAACTTCTGACACTAGTGTAGCTGTATCCACCCATCAGGTTTTCTGTGCCAGAGGTACTACACTTCATTATTATAGCCAAATCCAAATCGCACCCAATTCGCACCCAGTTGATCTATGGCCAGAACCAATTAACAAATGCTGGGTGCGAATTGGGTGCGAACTGGCTTGGACTAGTCAGGGGACAGTTTCCACACACAGACACAGACACACGCACTAAGTGTGCGCCAGAGAATGCTGGGTGCGAACTGGGTGCAAATTGGCTATTTATTGCTCAAAAGTCAATAGACTTATTATGCAGTGTCACGTGCGTTGAAGGGAAATCTAATAGTGCGGGGTCATGAATTGGTGCAGCATTCAACCTGTTCTCTTGTTGGTTTCGAGACCACACAGAAAAGCTGGGTGCGAATTGGCTGCGAATTGGCCCTGGCTACGAGTACGGGAGATCGTGTAGTGTCTCATGTCATGTGCTGTTTTTTCGGACATAGAAATGACTTATGTGGCCCATTATACGCACATCTGCGATTACTGCATGACTCATTTCTGTCGACTTATCACGTAGCCTGGACGAATTCAATTTGCTGTCAGTTATCACCCAGCAATTATCAGTGACCCGAAAACAAAACAAAAAGCACTTGTGACGCAGTATGTTCAACCATGGGCAGCCAATTCGCACCCAGCATTTCTTCGCACAAAAAACATGACAAACTAGGCACCCACTTCAGAACCCAGCAGCCGCAGAGGACACTGCATACACATGTGTGGAATGTCTAGCACAGGCCAAGTCACACCCAATTTGCACCTATCATTCTGTGGGCTAAAACAAACAACGAAAAACTTCTGACACTAGTGTAACTGTATCCACCCATCAGGTTTTGTGTGGCAGAGGTACAATTAAATGTAGCCAAGGCCAAATCGCACCCAATTCGCACCCAGTGGATCTATGGCCATAACCGATTAACAAATGCTGGGTGCGAATTGGGTGCGAATTGGCTTGGACTAGACAATGGACAGTTTCCACACACACACAGACACACAGACACACGCACAAAGTGTGGGCCAGAGAAAGCTGGGTGCGAACTGGGTGCAAATTGCCTATTGCTCAAAAGTCAATAGACTTATTACTGTCACGTGCGTGGAAGTAGAAACTATTAGTGCCGGGTTAAATCTTATGAAGTGGGTGCACCGTGCAGCATTCAACCTGTTCCCTCGTTTCTCATTGTTTCGAGACCACGCAGAAAAGCTGGGTGCGAATTGGGTGTGAATTGGCCGTGGCTACAGTACGGGGGATCGTGTAGTGTATCAGTTCATGTGCTGTTTTCGGAGACAGAAATGATTCTGATTTTATGTGGCCCATTATACACACATCTGGGACTACTTCATGACTCATTTCTGTCCTCTAATAAAGTAGCCGGGACCAATTCAATTTGCTGTCAGTTATCACCCAGCAATTATCAGTGACGCCAAAACAAAACAAAAAGCACATCTGACGTAGTATGTTCAACCATGGGCAGCCAATTCGCACCCAGCATGTCTTCGCAAAAAAACGACAAACTAGGCACCCACTTCAGAACCCAGCAGCCGAAGAGGACACTGCATACACATGTGTGGAATTTCAGGCATGTTGATCCACTTTGCACCCGATTCGCCCCCAGCATTCTGTGGCCTAGCAAACGCATGTGAGACGGCTCGACTAGGAAAATGCAGACACTGTGTCTCTGTGTTGGGGGGTGTTCAGTACCTATGGCCAATACGAACCCAACTCCCAAGTCTGTGGCCCAGAAAAACATGTGACACTATTTCATGGTCTCATGGTCTCTCGATTTTGCAGCCAGACCCAACTTCCACCCCAAGCCACTCCGTGCACAAGTCGCGGCCAACAGTTCTTGAGACGTCGAATTGACGCTCGAATCAGAACCAAAGCCTAAGATCTGACTGTAGAAATTTTGTAAATAATAAGAAATAAATAGTATAGTAGAGTCTATATATATATATATATATTTTTTATACCGAATAACAAATATAATAACATTGATAGCAATGATCGTAATCAGTCGAAAGTGTAGCAACTGCCAATCCGCACCCAATTCGCACCCGCAGGCTGTGGCCCAGCAAACAGATGTCACAGTGGCTACCCAGCATTCGGAGTTGATCATTGTCGTAGCCAATATAATAATTCGCACCCAAATTTATTGAGCCACAGAATTCGGGTGGGTCAGCAAGCACAGGTGACACTACATGATGCCTCGTATTGTAGCCAGAGCCAATCCGCACCCAAATGGCACCCAGCACTTCTGTCTCATTACCAGGTTCAACTTCGCACCTTTACAACCCAGCATCCGTCTAGAAGCAACACATGTGACACTGGATCAGAATGTGTGGAATCTGTGGCAGAAGGCCAATCCGCGCCCAACTCGCACCCAAGAAACACACGTGCCACTACTTTCATTGCCAGCTGGACCCACCCAGCATGTAGTGTGCATGCATAAAACATGTGACACTGCTCATGATCCAAATTTGTACCCCGATTCTTTGGTCCTGGTCTCAAAAGCACAGACCTGGTCTAATTTCGCAGCCACTGGGGAACCCAAGCCTTCCATTGATTGCCAAAACAGTCACTGGGACACTGCATGAGAATCTGTGGAATATGTAGCCAGCTTACTAGCCATCGCAACAAGAAGATACCGCTGCCGCATTAAAAGTAGATAATATGTTATTATCCCCGGCACCCTCTTCGCAGGCAGCAGACTTTCTACGCCTTGTCAGCTTTCTTGCTAATTTCGACACATGTGACACTGCATCAGCACGGAATATGTGGCAATGGCCCCTCCGCACCCACGTGGCACCCAGCACTTATGTCAGCAAGAAACACAGCAAACGCTTGGCACTGTCTTGGTTTCGCCCACTCGAATGAAAAGCATCTGGCTACAGACCGCAATGTGAATACGGCTTGATTGGACTGCCCAGAATGAATTACACCTAGCACGTTGGGCCGCCGCCCCACACGTATGCACAGAGGCACATACAGAGCCACGCTGGAACATGCAGGCAGTGTGCATGACACACTGCACACAGAAACACTCCGAGAAGCCTGCCGACTGCGAATGGGCGGAGACAGCCGGCTCTTGAATTTGACCTCTGACACTGGCGAGTGGCTTCGTGTGGACACTATGACAGAATGACTGACCGACTAACAGTAACAGTCACGAAGTTGCTGAGAGGCCTGCCTGCTATGCACCAGCACTGTGGTATGCTGACTCAAGAACGGCTGAATCTCACACTGACACACAAAGCAAACCGTCTGACCCTTCCTGAGAATCCTGCCTGCCGCGACTCTGGTGCCAACATGGGAGACCTCAGCACAAGTAGCAAAATCTGGAGCGACATCGTCATGTGGCAGGTGCAAACTTCTGATGTGATGCGGATGACGGATGAGCACACAGGAGGACACATGAGACACTGACGAAAAGCAAAGCTGGCCTTTTTTGTGCACTCGGTGGGAAGTGCGAGTCTCGCTCTGACACTAAATTTCAGAATTTCTGACACCATGGTGAGTTCAAGCTTCTGTGCACTAGATCCGCACCTTGTCATAAATACTCTGCAAGCCGTTGCGAGGCAGGTAGCTGCAATGGCCAACTCGAGCAGTCGTCTGCCTTTGACACTGAATTTTATGCTTCGAATTATTGTGGCTGCCACAGGAGCTTCCCCCCTTATTAGCCAACGAAGTTCCACGTCTGACTCTTGGCTTGGCTTTGGCATTGGTTGTCTTCTTCACTCTGTGACACTGCTTCTTCTCTGCCTGCATTTTGCGGGCCAAGCTGGAACGCTTAGTACTCGCAGAGACACGTGTCGAGGTGTGTGACATGCACTGATCGTCTCGGGGCCGGCGACCAGGAGCATCGAGGAGGAGATGACTTTGATGACTCTGGCTTCGCTGACTGGTCCAGGTCCATGAAGGTCCATGACCCTTGTGGGCCACTGTACATGTGCCCGCGTGTGCGTGGCTTGCCCAGCACACTCAGGTCAATCAGCGAGATGGCCAGAAGTGACACTGCAGCCACAACCTCGACATGCATCGTGTTGCCTGCCAACGCTGACACTTGTTTCGGACGCAGCTCCTCACACTTGCCCATGAAGCTTGACGCTGGGAATCCATTGATCAGAAGCTTTTCGGCCGGAAGGAGTGCACGGCCAGCAGAGAGGACAAAAACATGTCCTCCTGGTGTCAACGTCGGACACTGACCTGAAAAGGCGACAGGCATACGGCCTGCATTTTGACTCAAGTCAACGACCATGTCCATGCGCTGATGCTGCTGCCATGCTATCTTCAATGCGTCCTCTTGCCGCGCTCCCAGCTGTTTCAACTTTGACTCTGGCACTGGGCAGGCAAAGCATCTCTGACTCTTCCGACACATGTTTCCCCAGATCCTGTCATGGCGCTGCAACCATTTCTGAAGCTTGGCTTTGGGCACTGGTTTGCCGTTTGGCACATGCTGCTGACTCTCCACCACAAGCGTTTGTGTATCTGCAAGCATGAAGTCCTGAACTTTGACACTCTGCCGGTCTTGCTTGACACTCTGCAGGATGTGCCGTGCCAAGCTATGAAGCTGAGCCGGGTCGCAGAGCAGCACATCCTTCCTCAAGAGAATAAAGTACACTCTGGGTCGGCGAACACAGTGACCCTGGTCTCTCGGGTCCATTTTCATGTGGTAAACCACATACTCATCTTCCAACTTGACTCTCATCGTCTTGCTCACGTCGTTGCGGAATCTCATGAGGCCCGTGACATTCTCGAGAACGCAGAAGGCAGGCTTTTTGACCCTGATGGTCTCCAGCATTGCCTGGCAGGGAGCCCATGCTGACACACGACACTGTAGTTGCTTACGAATCTCACTCTTGCAGCCTAAGTACATGTTGAAATCAACCAAAACACTTGATTTAGAAATCTAAGTTTAAGAAGTTTTAACACTGACTCACCCGACCTTGTAAGGCTCCACCGCTGGATCCTTCCAAAACTGACTCTTCCCATGCAGTAGCGACCAAGGGGTACATGGGAACCCGCAGTAATAACCATCCAAGTCCGGGAGCTCTTCGTGACATCTGTCCAACATGTCATGCAACAGCAGGCCTGGCTGACACTGACACTGGATCCACCTTCGGGCATGGACAGCTTTTTCACAAGAGAACACGTGCTGGTGCTTTATCTGAAGGGCTCTGAGAGCAAAAATGGGTGACTCTGCACCAGCACAATCTGCTCCAATCCGGAGGAGTGGTATGGAAAGCGGAGTACTCTTGACACTGTTCTTGTCAAGCCATTCTTTTCGAGCCTGCTTGACTCTGTCAAAGAGATTCCTCGCCCAGCCCTGTCTGACATCAAACGCAGGGTCGTGCATGGCAGGCTGACACTGACACTGAATACTAGACGTTCCTGGTACTATTATGTTGCCTTTGACACTGACTCTGACTAAGTCATTTCCACTCGTCATGCTGTGCATGCATCTGCAATGTCTAAGTGACTCTGCTGCACTCCGAAGCTAACCTTTCCTGGGACGGCCACGACTACAGGCAAGAATGACTCCACATGCTGGTCTCTTGCAACCGTGCTCGCAAGCTGACAGGCACTGACAGCTGTGACACTGCAGGTCTTGAGAGCCGGGCCGCCCAAAGTGACAGGGTTCCTCAGTGTCAGTCAAGGATGTGACATGTATGGGCAGCATGAACGAACAATCTGAACGAAGGCCAGGCACGAAGTGACACTTTTCTGCATCTGTCAGGGGGCAGCAACGCGCTTGCCCGCCGTCAGAAGATTGACACTGACTTTGACTCTGGCATTGGGACAACGGCCACCCCAGGCTGTTCGTACATGGCTATGTTAGTCTACTGCAAGTCGCAGAAATGGCACTGCACTGTCACCACTACACAGGAGGAGAAGGGGCAGGAACCGCTCTGTCCGTGTCTAGTCAAAATTGCCATAGCCTCTGGAATTCCGCTGGCCTTTGACACTCTTATGGCATCAGCGGAATGGGAGCCGTACTGCTGCAACAATAAGTGCCAATAAACATGTAGACTGTATGCGAATCTGCAGTGGCCTAAAGGCAACACTATAATTTAATCAATGCTAAACACTGGCATCCAAATACGAGTAATCATCTTGACTTCTCTTACCATTGTTGCTAGCTGTACTGACTCCCATGTCTTGATGCATGCTTCAGCGGCCTGCTGTGGCCGAAGTGCCCGGCCACACGCACATTCACAGCCAGAATGAGTGGATACTGTTGACTCCAACATGGCTCAGCACACTAAAATTATTGTGACTGTGACACTCACACGAATCCTAGCTGTGATGGCAAACTCAGGCGGCTTCCGCTGGCTCCTCCTCTTCATCCATGTCATCCTCATCTGACTCTTGGAGCTCGGCATCATTCAGCTCCCTCAAGACCTCTTCGAACAGCTTGTTCACTGACTCCGACAAGTCTTCCTGGTACCTGGACCCAGAATTTTGAAGGACACTGCATCAGACGAAGTTCAGCAAAGACACCCTGGCTATTGAATAAAGCAGTTACAATGACAATGTAAAATATTTGACAAAACCACTGCCAAGCTCGACTAAAACAAATCAGGCAGCATGACACTGTCCGAGTCGGCAACCAGGCGAAGGCATTCGTGGTCTAGAACGTTAGCCAGCCAGCTGTGATGCACGTCGGACTTAGTGATGCCGGTGTATGTTATGCCGGCAGCCATGCAGACACTGGCAAGTAGACCTGACCCTGGGGTCAAATCGAGCACGGCAGCTGCGTCCAGGCATGCCAGCAGTGTGTCCCAGCAGTCCCAGGGCTTTGACTCTGCCCAATAGATTGGAACGCTTTCCAACCTGTACTTGGGGGGCTCATCTAGCTCGGTCCATGTCTTGGCTTTCTCGGCGATGCTGATTTTGGGGCGCCTGTCAGGAGGCGGCAACCCGACCATGCTGAGGTCGTGGGTCGTGGCCACCTCCTTCTTGTCTTGCATGGGGATGGCATACTGGTCAACTCGCTCCTTGACGTTGACTCTGACTCGCGGAACGAATGTCTTGATCAAGCCAGTCTCCACACGCTGGCTGGCACAGAACACTTTGCGGCTTCTGGACATGCGGCTTCTGCGAGAGTACAAGAGCACAAACTCATTCAGATTCTTTTGGTTTTTGACACTTGTGCGCAGAAGGTCTCTGTTGCTCTGGCAGCCACCATCAAAGAGCACGAGGATATCGTGCTCCTTCCAAGTGTAGTCCTCAAGGAACTTCATGATCGGGTCGGCTGACTCTTTGGACACTGCCACTGGCCTTTGCCAGGTGCCCTTGGCTTCATCCAACAAGTCCGCCGAGAAGAAAACGACCCTGTGTGTTTCGTTCAACTTGCCTTGACACTGCTTGAAGAGGGACTTTTCCACAAGACTCTTCAGAGAGTCAGTGGTGCCTTTCCAGAGTGCCAGCTGGGTCGATTTCTTGCGAAGCTGCTGTGCCTGGGTCCAAACCTTTTGACGCTGGACTTTCTGAGATTCGTCGGGCTGTTCTGGATCCGACATCTTGCGTGCCAGCTCCCGAAAGCTCATAGGTGCGTCAGCTGACTCTGACGTGAAAGCTGTAGCAACCATAGTGGAAACTGCAGCTCGGAAGGCTTTGCCCAGTGGCTGCTTGTCTGACGCTTCCATCAAGGCCCCAACTGGATCCTTGACTGCGGTCAACTTGGCAAGGGCAGCCTCATGCTTGCCCTCCATGAAGTCCCTGATCAGCTCCACGCATGCTCTGCCCGCCTTTGGCAGCTTCTCTGTGACCCTGGCCAGTGCATCTGCGCAAGCTTGCTCCTCGTTGTTTTTGGCAGCTTCGTCTGACCCTTTCCCCAAGTTGCAGCCCTCGCCGGTGTCTTCGATGTCCTCCATGACCTCCTCCGTTTCCTCTGACACTGGCAAGGGGACGTTCTCGTCGTAGGATGCAGGAGAAGCCACCTTCTGCAGTGCGTTGAACAGCTCATGCTTGGGCAGCCGGCAAGAAGTACTTTTTGTTGACTCGGACTCTTTGTCAGCAGCTGCCTTTGACACTGACATCAAGTGCAAGTGCATGATGAGGTAGCACTTCAAGCAGGTGATAGGCACCCAGCCGGACTTCTCTGTCGCCAAGGTCTCCATTTTGTAGAACTCAGGTTGACACTGCTTACGGCGAAGCTGCATCAAGCAGCTGTCCAGAGCAAAATGAACCAAGTCTGACACTGCCGTTTCTTTGGGCCAATCACCAGCCAGTTTGGCTGCCATCTGACACAAACGCATGACCTTGTTGTAGCCGGAAGACCAAACTGCACGTCCAAATTCGCGCTGAATTGCATCCAGTACTGACTCTATCTCTGGAGTCAGCAGCTTGTAAAAATTCACTGACGCTTGAAGAAGCGTGCGGTTCACGAGGCTCCCGTTGAACCGAATGTTCCTCTCCACGAGGAACTTGAGCAACTTGGGCTGCGAGTCTGACTCTTCTCGGGGAACACTGTCCATGATCTGACCCAGCTTCTTCACAAACATCTGAAAGGAGTCACCAGGAGCAGTGATCTTACTCTTCTCGGAGTTTTGCAAGGAGCGCAAAATGACACTGCTTTTGCCATCTCTGCCAAAGTGGTACGCTCGGATTGACACTGTCAGCGCCATGGTGTGCAGTGACGTCAACCTCTCAGTTCTGGCTTTGCTCCCAGGCGCAAGGATGACTCTGCATGCAGCAAGATACCAAGCAAAAAGGGGAATGATTCCCCTCATCAGCTTCATCCCGTTTGGGAAGCTGACTCCGGCTCCATAGTTCTGCACATAAGCCAAAAAGGGGTCGCCAAAGTAAAGTTGACTCTGACCCTCTGGTATGAGGATCTCCTCGGCCTCCAAGACCTCCCACATGGACGGTTGCTCCACCAACACAGGCTCATCCTTCCAACCAGCAAGCGTGAGCAACCCATCCAGCCAAAAAACTGACCCTCCAGCTTCGTACATGTCGCGGCGCTCCATTGACACTTGACAGGATGAAGGGTTCCATGACTCTCGAAAGTTGGTTTGCACAGCCTTGTTCTTCTCGATGGAGAGCGGTGCAAGCTCCTTGAGCTTTGTTGACTCTGGAAGGCCACACTCCGCAACCCAGCGATGGTGAACCTTGATTGTGCTTACAGTATTCTAAACATGTCAAGATCTTGAGCTGACACTGACTTATGGTTTTCCAGAGACAGAAAGGACCAAATTAAGACTAAGAGCACCGAGAAACATATTTGATCACCTGTGTCATGACACTGAGCGCAGTCGTCCTCTTGGCCTGCTCATCCTTGGCCGGAATAGTTGGAGCTTCCATTGGCTCCGCTGCAAGCTGCCCACTGGCTGCAGAATCTGACACTGTAGGTGCTATCTTCTGTGTCGGCAACACGAATGACCCTGGATCGAGCTCCTCCTGAGGCTTCCTAGCCGAAGCCTTGGCCTCAGGCTCACTCTGTGACTCTGCAGTTTTGGCTGTCTTGCTGGAAGCCTTTGCCTGGACCATGGCTGCAACGGGGTTCCCTAATACGTCGGCGACTTTCGAAAGGCTGCAAGGTATTGCACAACCAAGATGAGGCACTCAAATACCTCCAAGATTACAGTTATGTCTACAACGTATTGCAATACCTCTCCGTGATATGCCAATACGTGGCCGCCTTTCGAAAGGCGGGGGGGGTATTGGCATACCACGAAGAGGTACTCCAATACCTGACGCCAACCCTGAAGGCATAAGCTTGAGAAATTGCGCTACTCAAACTATTCTCTTGGCCGAAGCAGTCCCCTGCAGCAGTCCCTATACTAAACAGACTCTGGCTCTCGACCTCTCCTGCTGCAGCCTGACTGAGCTAAGAAAAAGCAGTTACTAAATGACTCTGACACACCGGAGCAGC